GTATGTCGCTCCTGTGAACAGGGACAAACCCCTTTTCCCCCGTAGACTCCTGCACCAAGTCCTCCGTCTGGAACATTATAGTAGTATAATTTTATTCCAGGGGATTAATTCCTCCGCTAGCCAGGCCACGTAAAACGCACTTCTCCGTACTCCGTGTCCTCCGCAAGATGGTGTAGTCAAGTGCGACGAAACTTTAATCCTGGCGATGTATGAAAGCGCAAAAATGGCTTCTTGTTGCGATTCTGATAATCTGCGGCTTTACAGTTCAGGGTTTACGGCTGAGGGTTTAGGCTTGTTGCCGGGTGCTTCATTAAGCATGGTAGTTGCTGTTGTGGCTGTTGCTGCTGCTGTTGTTTCTGCTATCATGGAAGGACGGTGGGAGATTGCCTTGGACTTGTTCTCAGACATGCAGGCTCATCGCGGCGAAGCTACAGTGGTGACATTCGGTGCTTGCATGAAGTCCTGTGCGAAAGCCTCGCAGTGGCAGAGGGCTCTTCTTTTACTTTGGGACATGCCTTCTGCCAGGGTGCAGGCAAACGTCGTGACCCTTGGTGTTGGCATATCGGCCTTGGAGGCAGCTGGTCAGTGGCAACTGGCTCTGCAGCTCTTTGCTGGCATGACGAGCGCAGCAGTAGAAGCAAACACCGCCTCTTTCAATGCTGCACCTGGGCTTTGGTTAACAAGCTTATTTCAGATACAGTACGTATTCAATGTGCGACAGCATCTTTCTAGCTCTAGCTATATGTCCATCTGTCTATCTATCTATCTATCTATCTATCTATATAACTAACTATTCATCTACCTATCGTTTTATCTACCCATCTAGCTATCTATCTATCTATCTATCTATCTATCTACCTGTCTAACTATCTATCTATCTATCGTCTATCTGTCTGTCTATCTATCTCTCTATTTATCTAAATCTATCTGTATCTCTGTCTCTATTTATCTAAATCTATATAAATCCATTTGAATATCTGAATCTATCTATCTATCTGTCTACCTATCTATCTCTATCTAATCTAATCTAATCTAATCTAGTCTGATCTAATCTAATCTAATCTAATCTAATCTAACCTAATCTATGTGTATGTGCATATACGTTGTGTGTGTGTGTATATTGCTCAATCTCTTGCTTCTCATACATACAATATATATATAGGTTTATTTATTTATTTACTTATTTATTTAGTTAGTTAGTTATTTACATACACATGCACATCTATCTATAAATATATACACATACACACACATGTGTGTGTGTGTGTGTATGTATTTGCGTTGTGTGAATACTGTCTATGTATATACATATGTATAGTATACACACATATACACATACAGACACACCTGTGCGTGTACCAAGAACCTAAGGTATTGTCTGCCTGCGAAGATGATGGGCAGTGGCGGCAGGCCTTATGCTTGCTTTCGGAGATGCGAAGCGTCACGCTCCAGGCGGACCCTAAACCCTAAACCCTAAACGGCCCTGAACAACCCTGGACCCCAATCATCCTTTTAGCCTCAAGTCGCAAGCCATAGCAAGGCGGACCGAATCAGTTTCAATGCCATCATCAGCGCATGTGGGAAGCGCGGACGATGGCCAGTGGCCATGAAGCTGCTTGCGGAGATGTTGGCTGAAGGACCTGAAACCGCAAGCCCTTGACCCTATAGACTCTAGGCCAGAAGCCCTGCACTCCCACACCCTAATCCCCGCAACCCTAAGCCCGAAGCCCCTAAACCCCTAAACCCCTAAACCCCTATGCCCGAGACCCAAGTCCCCAATCCTGAAGCTCTGATCCCGGGAAGGGCTCGCCCCGGACAGCATCAGCTGCAACGCCGGCATCAGTGCATGTGGACGAGGCGAGGTTGACGAAACGCCTTTTTTGGTCCCACCTGAAATATGGCACATGGTAGATTGCAGTAAAGGTACAAGTACAAGCAACCTTATTGGGGAATGTATAGCCAGCTATAATTTCTTCTCTACAGTACCCTACTTATAAGCCCACATACCACCACCCATTGAAGCTTCAAGTAAAGTGCGCCCTGAAGAATATTCGAATCCTCGAAGCTTAGGTGAAGTTAACCCTAAACCCTAACCCCTAAACCCTAACCCCTAAACCCTAAACCCCTAAACCCGTAAACCTTAAACCCCTAAACCCCTAAACCCTAACCCCTAAGACCCCCAGAAAGCCCAGGAAGATCCTCTGGAAACACCTCTCTCTCTTTTGACCCTGAACTCTAGTCACTAGTCCCGAAACGGCCTAAGCCCTATATTAGCCCTGTAACATAAAAGCCTTGAAGCCATTCTTCAGACCGTATACTGAAGAAGCCTAAAGAATCCCCCCCACATTATTCCCTTGGGGTTCCTTATTCAAGCTATACTATAAAGGAGCCCAGAAACCTATTTCAATTATTAAGGCCCTTACATGAGAACCCGGAATCTTCGAACTCGAAACTCAAAGAACCCTAGATCCCAGCATCTTGGCATGCTTCTTAGCTTGGATAGTCCACAGATCCTAAACCCCAAACCCCAAATCCTAACCC